AAAGAGCAATAGATGCATGGATGAAATAGTTTCATTCCCTGAATATATTGAGAAAACATTCTATCAAGTGAAAATATTTATGTTTATTGATAAAAATTGATGGGCAACTTTCCTGCTATCCAAGCAATCTAAAATGTCCTCTAAGTTATCTGTTTCAACTATCCTAAAATGTAAACTTTAATTTAATGAGCAATAGCTGTTTTAAGGGATAATCTGATAATCCTTATTGATCTGCCTACATATCTCAATCAGAAGCCCATCTTCCCCTGGGTAAAATATTATTTGAAATGCATGGAAATCATAATGTGTGAATCATAATCATAATCACAGTGCTTTTTTCTATGCTTTTAATAGGTTCTGCCATGCTGCTTCTGAACATTCTTCTCTTAACAATTGGATGGAATATATAAGAAATAGTATTATTACTTTTATTTATTGATTTATCAGATTTGTATTCTGTCTTTCCTTTAGGAGTTCTGCATCATATGCAGTACCTTCTCTTCCATGTTTCTCCATAACAAAAACCCTGTGTGAGAGGTTGGGCTGAAAGAACATAACTGAAGGTTATGCAATTAGCTCCACAAGGGTTTCCAGTTCCAACATGTTAACCATGACCCAAACCATAAAATACATGCTGCAAAAATAATATATGTTATTATGAGAATATTATTAACAGTGTAATTGTAAAGGAACCTCTGATGAGTTTAGCTGAGGTGCCATTCAATACTTTGGCCCTTATAGTAGCACAGGTTGCACAGTTATTTGGTGACTAGACACTCTTTATTTAAAAAAAAACAAACACCACTCCTTTATTTCAGAAAGCTCTCCTTAAAATTTATTTATTTTCCAAAACCTTACTTTTGTCCTTTATTTTGGTCATTTAACTTTTACCATCCAGGTGATATCACTTAATACAGTCTTTTACATTCACATGAAAAATACAATTGCCTTTTTAAAAAGTAAATTGAATATACTTCTCATCTTAGATATTTTTATTCAAATATGCATTTTTGTCAAGTTTTTCTTAGTTTTGCTCTTGAATTTTCCTTTGCATAACAAAGTTAGAAACATAAACAATTGCCTATTTTTTATCCTTATGAACTTATTTCCGATTTCCCCTTTTTCTGGTTGTCTGAAAATATGGTAACTATATACACAGTTGGCACTTAGTTACCTTTTATACTCTGAGAACGGTACTTCTGAAAAGACAGCGTAAGGAAGTGGTGGGACAGACAGTAGTTCACCATTAATCCCCAACCCCTGTCCTCAGAAAGTTCTAGACCAGTGGTTCTCAACCTTCCTAATGCCGCGACCCTTTAATACAGTTCCTCATGTTGTGGTGACCCCCAACCATAAAATTATTCCTAAAACCATTGAAAATATGTGTTTTCCGATGGTCTTAGGTGACCTCTGTGAAAGGGTCATTCGACCCCCAAAGGGGTTGCGACCCACAGGTTGAGAACCACTGTTCTAGACTACCCATCATTTTAACCCCCAAGAAGACACCCCCAGGATAAATTTGATTCCAGTTGGCTGCCTCCATGCAGTTTTCCTGGAAAAGTTATGAAGATATTTTCCTACTGCCACCTTTTTTTCCCCCTTCCCCATTCATTCAGTTCCCTTAGATTTCCCAAGGGTCTCTCAAACCAGAGCTGATCTTGCTTAGCTTGTAAAATCAGCCAAGGGTGACTAGGTGCTATCACCAGCTGAGGAGACAAGGCCTAGCTGCTCCATTATAGGGTATATAAAGTATACAAAGTAGCCAGAACTAATGTTGCATACTTAGGTAGGTTCAGGAACACAGGTAGTCCTCCACTTACAACAGTTTGCTCAGTGACCGTTCAAAGTTACAGCACTGAAAAAAGTGACTTTTGACCATTTTTCACAGTTATGACATTTCCAGAATCCCCATGATCATGTGATCAAAATTAAGATGCTTGGCCACTGATTCATATTTATGACTGTTGCTGTATCCCAAGATCATGTGATCCCCTTTTGCGATCTTCTGACAAGCAAAGCCAATGAGGAAACTAGATTCACTTAACAACCGGTTACTAACTTATCAACTGCCATGATTCACTTAACAACTGTGGGAAGAAAGGTCGTAAAATGGGGCAAAACAACAAATGTCTCACTTAACAACAGACATTTGGTGCTCAATTGCAGTCATAATTCAAGGACTACCTATATAGAGATTTTGAAATGATGTAAGTGTGTTTTACTGTCTCCCTTCCATGGAAGACTTCAGTACAGTTTTTGGCTTTCTGTTGATCAAAACATTAGGATACTGATCTGAAACGTTTTAGGCAACTACAGTATATTGTTGAAATTTGGCTGTATGGGGGTAACAAAAAGTGTTTTGCATGATCCAATCTGGGTCGGTCACTGGGACCAGAGGTTCTGTCTTCTGAGCTTTCGGTCTGGAGCAACATTATCTTGGGACATGCCTATTTGCCTTCATTTGTGAAAAACAGTTTTACTGATCTTGATCTTAACCTTCATTTAGCCAGGCCTATAGCAGATGGCAAGGAGAAGGAAAGGGGCAAGACATCCCCTCTACAGTCTGATTAAAGTGAGGCAACATGGCTTTGGATTTTCAGGTAGACACATTAATGCAGGGATCCTCAAAACTATGGCCTCCCGGCCAGATACGGCCCACCAAAGCAATTAATCTGGCCTGTGCCGCATCACAAGGCTTCCCCGTCCACATCGCCCCGCCTACCCACTGAACCCCTCCCTTTGGCCGACCACAGGCCTTACTTTCACAGACAGCCACAGTGAACAGAGCAGTGTGAGCCCCGCGGACTGGAACTGGAAGTTAAGGCCAACAGCGGGGGAGAGAAATCCATCCCCCGCACTAGGACCTGTTGTGCTAGGCTGAAGGGCTGTGGACGGCGAGTCTTAGCTGCCTTTTGCACCTCTGTCTCGGCTTCTGTGGGGCCTCTGGGTACCTGCTACATGCTCACCCTCCCCTCTGCCTTGGGCCCTGCATCCAGCCCATGACTGGGGGATGCGTCATCCAATGCAGCGCTCTTCCCTGAGGGCCGCCTGCTGGACTGGCGTGGAAACGGTGTCTCACCTTGCTCCCGTCCTTGGCCTCCTCCTACCTTGTGACCTGCTGTCAGAAGCTGCTGACTTCTTGATGCAAGCAAAGACTGCTGGTTGGAGCGAGTGCTGGGCTCCTGCAGCTGTGAGTGCCAAGGCATAGCTAGAATTGGAAGAAAAGGATGTGCAGCTGTGGTGGAAAGAACTGGAGCAACACCCGGCAGCTTGGATGAGAAAGCGCAAGCAAGGTGACAGCTGCTCTCACTGGTAACTGAGCCCACCGCACCAATTGGGGTAAGGCGTCCCCAGGTGGAGCTCCAGGCAGAAGGGTTTGCTTTGGCCCTAAGCTGGAGTGGCAAGGAGGCAACAGTGACTGCATGAAGGGAAGCCGCGTGACCGGAGACGTGGCTGCCACAGCCTGCAAGAAAATCACCATCTTCGGCGCCACCAGCATGATGGGCCTGGCCACCCTGGTGCAAGCCCTGGAGGCGGATGAGGCAGGGGAGGGGGCATCGGCCTGGAGGGCAGAACAAGTGGGGAACATGTGAAGAGGCTGCAAATGGATGTGCTTGGGACACAGCTGTTTCTCTGGAGAAAGCAGCGCAGCTGCTGACAATTGGGGGGGGGAGGCGAGTACCAAAGGAGCAGCTCCTCGCATTGTGGCTGCTGCAATGAATATGAGAGCCAATGTTTTGAGCACGGTTAACATCTCCAGCCCAATGAGTTCTCCATTAACACTCAGCACACCTGTCAATTTACCAGTTACTGCACCAGTGAACATCACACATCCAGTCACTATCACCTCACCAATGAATCGCCCAACACCAATGACATTAAATGGCCCTTTAAATATAGCCATGAGACCCGTGGAAAGCATGCCTTTTCTTCCCCAGGCATTGCCAACCTCTCTCCCCTAGTAAAAAAAAAACAACAACCTAGAGCAAAAACTTCATGCACTATTAAAAAGAAGACTAGAAAAGGGGGCTGCTGTTATTGTTTAATGGACTGCTAAATTGGCCACGCCTACCCAGTCACATGATGGCCTGGCCACACCCACCCAGCCAGTCTGGCCCCCCAACAGTCTGAGGGACCATGAATTGGCCCCCTGTTTAAAAAGTTTGAGGACCCCTGCAGGCCGCCCTGAGTCTTCGGAGAGGGGCGGCATACAAATTGAATTAATAAATAAATTATTGTGTAACAACCAAAGGAAAATATCCGAGCGTTTAGGACTCGTGCTGATGCCCACCTTCAGGGAACTTCTCTCTAGCCAAGCTCTATGGCTATGGATTTTCAGGAAGACACATTAATGTGTTAACAATAAAAGGAAAACACCCGAGCTTTCCTGATGCCCACCTTCAAGGAACTTGTCTCTGGCTAGCCTGGCTTGAGAGAAGTTCCCTGAAGGTGGGCTCCAGCACGAGTCCGAAAGGTCGGAAGACAAAACCTCTGGTCCCGGTGACCGACCCACATCGGATCCTGCCACATTATCCTGGGACACTTATATTCGCCTTCACTGGGAAAATATCCTCCCACCGTTAAAATGGGGGCGGGGGGGGGGGCGGGCAGATACTGTCACATACAAGCAAAAACCCCTCGAGAGAAAACGGGATAAGAAGAGTAATCCTTGTATCCGGAATACATGAGAGTCAATCGGTGCCTTGGGGCTTTCATAAACGGAGGGCCACCTGTGGCCCTTCGCCTCATCGCCAAGCGCGGGTTCGCTTGTCCGCGGCCGCCGCCGCCTCAGAGTCACTCCGTTGACCTCCTCTCAACAAGTCCTGGAAAGTTGCAGGACAGGCGGGGGAGGAGGGGAAAAGAGGCGGGCCTAGAGCCGAGCGCCTCGTTTGCCCATTGGAGGACACTCGGGTCGGCCGCTCCAGCTGGAGCCGAAGTCCGGGGCTCAGGAGTCTGAGACAGCCTCCCCCCCCCCCCTCCGCCCGAAGCACCCAGCCAAGGCTTGACGTTTTAAAGGGAGCCCTGAGCGCGTCGCTGCTTCCTCAGATTTTACAGAGCCCGAGAAAGGGAGAAGCGGCCAAGAGTCGCGGCGGGCTCTCGCTGCCCCCTTTTTCTTCCCTGAGCGGGCTGTACAATCCTCGGCAGTGTCCTGAGACTGTATGGTCAGCTCAGGGACGGCTCGGTTCGGAGAGCAGCCTGCTTCGGCCACCTTCGTCTTTCTGCTCCGCGTCTGAATTGCGCGGAGAGACGCCTATCCCCGGGGGCCCTTGGGCGGCAAGGAATCTTAAGCGCGGGGAAGACAGAAGCGGCGAAAAGGGCGAGCGAAAAACCACCCAAAGCCCAGCGCCTATCAAAGGCCTTCAGGGACTTTCCCACCCACTGAAGCCAGCCTCCCACCCCGCCGCCTGAATCTCGGTGAGCCCGGGCTGCCCTTAGCCCAGTGGGACGCCCACGGGAGCCCTGCGTCTTCCTCTCCTGGCGGTTTGGGTTAGAGCCGGGAAAAGCGCGAAGGGGGCAGCAGCGGGAGCGGCAGAGGCGTCCAGGATGACAGCTGAGAAGGAAAAAAAGAGGTAAGAGGAGGGGACGAGGAGGAGGAGGAGGACGGCAAGGATGGAGGCACCGGCACGGAAGGGTAGCTTCTCTCGCCCGCCCGCCCAGTAAAGTGCCCTACTAGATTAAAAACAGCAGTTGTAGCACGGTAACAACAGCAACAATAAAGCCGCTCTCTGGAGGGTAGGCGATTGGAAGGGCAAGATCCCAGGGACGATCATCTTACGCAGTAACGGGCATCTGCCTTCGGGAAGGCGGCCCCTTTAAAATATTTTTGGCTAGGAGTTGCCTTGCGCGCCGGAGGTTTCGAAATTGAAAATACTACCCTGATTGGAAAGATACGCGCTTCGCTGGTTAACTTTTAAACGTTTCGGTCGGTCCTCTAAGCAGGCGACAAGCTCCGGAAGTTTTAGGAGCCTTTGCTTGAAGGCGAGGAAGGTTAAGCGGGTGTTGAATGTACAGAACTGAGCGGACCGAAAGCTGGATCTTAACATGCTCGCTTCGTGGTTTGATTTAGGGAGGCGGTTTCGGAAATCCCATCGATGTCTAAGAATGGAAGCGAGGGGCCTGCTTGGTTAAGTCTTCCATTGAGATCGATGGGGTTTCTAGGAGCTCCGCGCCGGCTGTGCCTGAACACCGCTTCAAATTTCGTTTAATCGCCGAGTCCGAAGCATAAATGGCGTCGAATTCAATTCAAATCTTTATTGTCGGTGTACAACATATGTACAATGAGAAGGGGGGGGGAGAAGGGGGTTTGCCCCCTGCGAGGTGCGGGATCTCGTCCTCCAGTGACTGGGCTAAGATTGGCAGAGGCGTAGAAGATGCTTCCAGCCTTACCTGCCCGCCTGCCTGCCTGCCGCGAAAGTTCAGGGACGGCTCCGATCCACAATTGCGGACCGCGCGCGGAAAGTATTTGCATTTTCGAAGCGGAAGGAGATTGCCAGGATGCGCGCCTTTGGAAACAAAACCGCTTTTAAGGAGGGAGCCACGATTATCTAACAGTCCCTCCGGAGATGAGGGGGAGACAACAGCAAGCCCCCAGTGTTCTCAATCAGTGCTTTATTCTGAGATGTTAATTCGAGTCTCGCAGGGTCTGGGAAAAGTCTCTAAAAGAGCATCTGGTCCACCCCTTCCCTTGAGTCGTGAGTGATTTAATTTGTTCGGTACTTGAAAAAGCAGAGATGATTTTATTGGGAGGAGAGGTACATTCCTGGTGATGGCAGGAGAATGCAAAATTATTTTATTCTCCTTACAAGGAGCCACTGCTGCTCTGGAAATTGCCATCAATTTTTAAATGGTGCCCAATCTGATAGAAGCTAGATAGACATCAAAAGGTACTGAAGTTAGGATCTATTCCTTCATAAATCCATTACTCAGTGCACCACCCCCAATTTCCTAGTTTAGTGCTACACTACCTGACAGGAGGAAAAACATGATGTCTTTATATTACCTTGCTTGTCTATTCATCCATACTGGGCCTGCCATCAATGGTTATGACTTGCCCTAGACTAGAGTAAAAAGGTTGTTTCAAAATTTTCACGGTTGATATTGTATAGATTACTTGGCTAAAAAAGGTTTCTGAACTGGGTTCATTGGAAGAGTATTGGCCTTTCAAAGGTCTCGCTTTGAGCAAAAATCTTTCTTAATATCTCCAAACTGCACCGAGATAGTTCAGCAGGACAAGGAGAGTTCAAGGAAAGTTGGGTTGGGTAAAGGTCCAACATGTCACCCGTTGCTTTGTGTTTTATGTGGATTGGTGTTTGGATCAGCTGACAGCCATTTAGGGTCTGCATGGCAGGCAATAGGATATTTCATGCCCATCAAAGTCTGACGGCCCCGCATTGAAGGCAGCTTTCTCCAACTTGGTGTCTTCTACTCTATTGGATTACAACTCTCAGAACTCTGAGCTAGTATGATCAACACAACCTGGAGGTTCTAGCTTGCATAAGGCAACCTCAAAATGCTACAGTTTGTTTCTTGGTGCAACAAATTAAGCCAGTTCTGAAAATCAGATGGGTTTGGGGTAAAGGCACATAGCTTCCTGAAAGGGCTACAATTAAAGGGTTTGCAATTAGGATTATGCAACATTCCTCCTTCCCAAATTCCATGTACATCGGATTATCTCCCATTCTCCCAGATTCCATTTATGTCCTTCATCTTCATTGCAAGATATTGACTGTGCAAAGGAGGGATTTCAACAGTTTGTCTTCTTTAAAAAGCACTGTCTGTGAAGATACTCTTCTACACTACCATGGATTTTATTTCCAAACTCTCCAAAGCAGTTTTGCGTTGGTTTAAAGTTGCCTTTCCCTTGCTAATCTCAAAATACAGAGAATGCATGAAGCAAGCCATTAATTGATTAATAGTAAGTACCACCCTTCAATCAGTGTTCCTCCCGATTGGTGGCCTGGTTTGTCCTGTATAACATGTAAACATTCAAAATCAGAAGCTGTGAAACCACCAAGGTACAAGCTACTATTCTTCTGATTGTTTTAGTAACAATGCAGAAAAATGACAGCATGAAGCCACAGTGGCTTAATTTGTGTGAGGAGGAAGAATAGCTGAGGAACCAGGTGGCAGAGTAAGGACCTTTCCTCATAGCTGTTTTGTGCCATCCATACTTGTTGAGTTGGCTGAAAACTCAGACAGTTACCAGACAGTTCTGCCACTGTGAAATCTGCTACCCCATTTCTGATCTTTTTCCTGCCTCTGTTCTGACTAACTATGGAATAAGGCTGACCTGATTTTTTTGCATGCACCAGATAGGATTGGCTTCTGCATACAACCTAGGTGGTGGGGGAAAGTCACTCCAGGGAAAACAGGCAGGGTCTGAGCTGAATAAAGTGTAATTGATTGAAGTTAGAAAAGGAACTGAATCACAAGCAGTATGATAAATAAAGATTTAAATAAAATCTTTGGTGTTTTTTTTACGCTTTGCTCAAAAAGTAACGGAGGACTATCCTATCATTTCAGTGTTATGCTGTGTTAGCCTGTTATGTTATTTCTGTGCAGTGTTACACCATTTTGCTATTTCACTGCTGCTCTGTTTCAAAACCCAACAAGTAGTTTTGTTTACACTTCATGGCCACTATATCTGACTCGTTTTAGAGATGGAGCAATAGAGGTCCAGCAGATAACCCTAATCAGGAACCAAAAGGTGAAGGGCTGGCCTGCATGTTTCTGTATCTGCCTGCCCTTCTGATCCCATTCGTAACTGCCTATGACTTCATGTATGACATAATGGATGTTGAAGTGGAGCAGATTCTGTACACATTGTAGCTGTGACTGAATGTTGCTGGTTTATGGAACAAAACACTGTTTGAACATTGGGTCACCTAAGTAAGATTTAAATCTGCCTATTTTGTGAACTGGGGAAGAGATGAAAGCATTAGCACAGAATCATTACAGAAAAACAACAACAAATTATGTTGTTTGGCAGTTTTCTGCTTGGGTAGATATAAGTGGAGAGGGGGGGGCAGCCCTGGGAGGTGATTCTTAACCAGCTAGAAAAATTAACTCACTCCAGTATTTCTGGAAAACTGGACTCAGCTTGTTTCATGTGGAATTATAGTTGATTTAGAAGTAAGTTAGCTAAGCTGAAAACTACACAAAATATCAGTGAATCGTCTGTTTAATAGAGCCAATCCTGGAGCATAGCTAATGTGCCATGCATGGGGATCAATTGTCCAAACACAGTCCAAGTATTGGCTTCTTTTAAACATATTCTATTTTCTGCCACTTTGAAATATTGAATTAAAGAGGAGTATATTTTTCTTCCCACTTCATTTCCAAAGTCTGCATTGAAATATCTTTATATTAAATTTTCAGATTTTAGGTTTTTGTTTTTTTATACAGGTACTTATTCTTGGTGGCCCTTTCTATATTTCTGACTTGTTTGGGATATTGTTGTCCAGATTTTACAGATGAGAACGCATAGTACATTAGTGGCAGAGGTAGATATGAACCATGGTTCACTGTTTAACCTAGATCATCCACACTGAATGGAGATAGATTTAATATATTTTAACCGAAGACATGCTTAACTCCACATCAACCACTGCGTCAAGGATTTTTTATTTTATCATAGTGTATTTTCATTTTTCTTTTTCATTTTATTTCAGGGTATGATCTCTTGAAAGATAAGCACTTTGTAAATCTGCTGACAGATTGTACTCTAATGACAAAGTTAAGTTTGTGCAGGGCAGTCATAATTATCATTTAAGTGCAAATAAATATTGCTGCTTTTAGTGGTACTTATTCCCATCTAAATGTGAAGAGGGTAATAACATTATCTCCTCAGTCCTGAAAAACAGATTCCCCCCCCCCACCTTTAGCTTTAGTAAAAGCTTGTTCTTTTTGAATTTTACTCAGTTTGATACTATTATATTATCTTACACCAATATACCAAGATATATATTTTTCCATTCATTCATGTCCCAATACTCAGAGACTGCATGGACTAGTCCCGGCTGTTTTCTTGGCAAGATTTTTTAGAAGTGGTTTGCCATTGCCTCCTTCCTAGGGCTGAGAGAAAGTGACTGGCCTAAGATCACCCAGCTGCTATGGCTTGGATTTGGATTACATTACAGTTGATGTAAATTGATTGAAAGTAGTCATATATTTCAGTGTGCCTCTACTCTATCATTATTTTTATTTTTAAACATTTCACTGAAACAAAATTTACTTAATTTTAATATATTATTTTGAATAGAACTCTATTTTAAATAGTCTGTAGTATCTTATATTGCAACAATTTTAAGACAATAACATGCAAAAGAAAACATTGAAAGTAAAAGCAATACAATGTATAAAGTAAAAAGTGTTTTAATTAATTTATGTCAATGGGTTGCCTGTCAATGTTGATATCCTGAGAGAATGGACTCTGAGATTCTCTGGCTCACATTCACTTCTGATCATTCTGATTGTTATTCTTACAAGATCTGGGAGGTGGGGGGTTGGAATGAACCAGCTTCAATGTATTTACCAGCACATTACATCAAATAAAGAAAAAGAAACATGT